AATAAAGGTATTCCACAACTTCTTATATGCTATTACATTATATTTATATCAAGTGGGCAAGTAACATGATAATGATCATTCTTATTCATTATTTGTTAGATCAACTTCACTACAAGTCTCTGGTAGGCCCCTTTATCTACAGCTGGATCTTCTCTAGCTTCTCCCAGTTTAAGATTAGGTTCTACTGGTGTCGGTGCTGGTTTACAAGCTAGTTTACTTGTTTCTTTTAGAAGATCTTTGATGTATTTCTGTTGTGAAATGAAGATTCCTTTGCTAGAGTGAGCTACTTAAATTCCGAGAAATTATTTTAGTCTACGAAGTTCTTTCATGTCAAATTCCTTAGTGAGACTTTCCCTTAAACTAACTTTCTCCTCTTCATTATTTCCAATCAAAATAATATCATCAACATATACTAATAATATTGTGACTCCCCCTGAATCTAAGTGTTTAAAGAATAATTTATGATCCCCTTGACTCTGTCGATACCCATTAAGGAGCATGAATTTTGAGAATCTTCCGAACCAGGCCCTTGGTGATTTTTTGAGCACATATAGAGCCTTTTTCAGTTTGCACACCCTGTTGCCTTCAGATTTTTTTTAAACCCTAGTGGTATTTTCATAAATATTTCTTCTTCTAAATCCCCATGCATGAATGCATTTTTCACATCCAATTATTCCAGATGCCAGTTGTACTTGGCTACCAGTGAGAGTAGTATTCTGAGTATTCATCTTGGTTACAGGCGCAAATGTTTCTTGGTAGTCAATGGCATATGTTTGAGTGAACCCTTTTGCCACCAGTCTTGCCTTATATCTCGCTAGTGTGCCATCAGCTTTGTTTTTTACTGAGAGCACCCATTTGTAGCCGATCGGTTTTTTCCCTATTGGTAGATTGACGATCTCCCATGTTTTGTTCTTTTTTAGGGCCTGCATTTCATCCTTCATGGTATTTTTCCAATTCTTATCAGATAAGGCCTCAAAAATATCTTTAGGAATATGGATAACTTCTAATGAAACCAGGAAATTTTTGTGTGATGATGAGAAGTTGTTGAAGGATATAGAGTTGTTTATAGGGTATAAGGGAGGTGGTGAGCTTATCTTATTTCCAGGAGATGATTCAGATTCTTGGATCTACTTTGGAGCACAGAATGAGCTTGTACGTATGGAGTAAACCTTTCCAAATCTAATTATAGCTTTGTCATTTATTTTCCTATCTTGGGTTTCAGGTGGATTGGTTTGAGGTGGTGGAGGAAGGTAAAGAGGTACTAGTTCATTTTCCTCATCTTCTTCATGTTCAGTCTCCCCCTGAAGATAAGATTTTGAAAAATAGGAATTTTGCGCATCAAAGGTAACATCAATAGAGACAAGGATTTTTCTTGTGGGTGGATAATAACACTTATAACCTTTTTGGGTAGCTGAATAACCAACAAAGATACATTTGAGTGCTCTTGGATCTAATTTTGTTCTCTCCTGGCTGTGCATATGAACAGACAGTGCATCCAAAGATTTGGGCATAAGATTATGATGGGTTCAAAACTCGGGGTAAAAAGAGGACAAAGACTCCATTGGAGTTTTGAGTCCTAAGGCTATTGAAGGTAGTCGGTTTATGAGATAAGCTACCGTTAAAAGAGCTTCCCCTCAATAGAATTTGGTTGTATTGTTGTGAAATAGGAAAGCTCGGGTGGAGGCTAGAAGATGACCATTTTTCCTTTCTGCAACCCCATTTTGTTGTGGGGTGTGAACACATGAGGACTCATGGATGATCCCTTCACTCTGGAAGTAGGAGGAAAGAGTTTGGTTAAAATAATCTTTGGCATTATCGGAGCAGAATCTCCTTATTTTTATCCCAAATTAATTTTTGATCATGGAATGAAAGGTGGGAAGAATGGTGCTAACATCAGATTTATTTTTAAGGAGATAGATCCAAGAGACTCTTGTGCAATCATCAATGAATGACACAAACCAGCGTGCCCTAGAGATATTGGGGATTTTAGAGGGTCCCCATGTATCACTATGAATAAGATAGAAAAGAGTATCACATCTCTTACTTTTGTTTGGGAATGAGGTTCTTTTATGTTTAGCCAACTCACATGTTTCACAATGAAAATTTTTATTTTCTAATTTCAGGAAAAGTTGTGGATACATATGTCTTAAGACATCAAAAGATGGGTGTCTTAGTCTATAATGATGAAGCCGAATATTGGAATTCATGTCGACTAGGGATAACATAGAGCAACTATTTTTAGATTGGTTTGGTTCTTCCAGGTAGTACAATCCTGCTCTCTCTTTAGCTAGTCCAATCTTCTTCCCCGATCTCTGGTCCTGAAATAAGCAATAAGTAGGGTTAAACAGGGCTTGACAATTATGGTCATTGGTAAGTTTTTGTATTGATATTAAATTTGTGGATAATTGTAGTACGTGGAGCACATTTTTTAGGGTGAGTGAGAGAGATAATATTATGTCTCCTTGGCCAGCTACCTTAATAAGAGAACCATCAGCAGTGATGATTTTCTTGTTGTTTGGGCAAGGAGTATAGTTTATGAGGTGGGTAAGTGAGTGAGTCATATGATTTGTGTCTCCTGAATCAATGATCCATAATTTTTTTAAATGATTTATGGAAGCACTTAAACTAATAGAAATTGGAGTCTTACCTGAGAGTGCAAGTGAAGAAGAAGTATTTGGTTTTTCAAGAGATACCAGGAGTGGTTTCAGTTTATCAATATCTTCTTTATTGAATTCTCCAAGGCTGGGCTGTGCTTCTGGCTTACTTGTAGTGTTGTTGGCATGTGATGTGCTCCTTGTTTCACCCTTTTGATTCCACTCCTTGTTGGGGGTTTTTTCATGTATTTTCCAGCATGTTTTCTTTGTGTGTCTTGACTTTTTGCAATAGTTGCACCAAAGTGAGTCATTATCTTTGAATTTTGAAGAATCTTTACCCTTCTAATTCCATGAAGATTCTTTGTTCATTACCATTGCTGAGCTTTCAACGACCTTTGATTCTAACATCTCCCATCGGCTTTCTTCTGCGCGAATGAGAGAAATGGTTTCATTGAGTGATGGTGTCTCCTCTTTGCCGAGAATTTAAATCCTAACTTGGTCAAATTCTGCATTGAGTCATGCAAGAAAATCATAAACTCTATCTTTTTCAATAAAGTTCTTTAGGATCGCAGCATCTTTCGGACATTTGGTTTCAATGCACATATAGTGGTCAAGTTCCTGCCACAGATTTTGTAGAAGGGTGGCATATTCCGTCACGGTCTTACTCCCCTATTTTGTGCTTCCAACTTTGACTTTAATTTCAAAGATTTGAGCCGCATCACGAGCTTTGGAGAAGGTCTGTCTGGCAGCATCCCATATGTCCTTTGCAGTCGAAAGGAACATAAATGTATCGCTAATTTCTGGAGTCATGGAATTCCACAATCATGACATAATCATGGAGTCTGTTTCATCCCATGCCCCAAATTTAGGATCTCCTTCTTTTGGTCCTCCTCCAAGGCGGTGATGTATTTTCCCTTTCCCCTTCAAGTAGGTCTTCACAAATTGAGATCACTTTAGGTAGTGCTTCCCATTTAGATGATAGGAAGGTTGCATACTTTGAAAGTCACCTCGTCCTTGGTGCACCATCGATTCCTCAGTTTGATCAACGCTTTGAGAGGAGTTAATTTCTGACATTGGAATGCAATTAAGGCTTCCTAGAATTTTTTTTATTAGACAATAAAGGTCGAAAGATAAGAGTTTTTTTTTTTTTTTTTTCTGGTTTACTAAACCAAACAGCCGAGCCCTTTAAAATGCTCAGATCGGGACTAGGGCATGGGGTCGGGTTCCAGAAAAGTCCCACTCGGCTTCACGGTCGCACCTTCCGCTCATTCTTGGCTGTTCGACTCGTCGACTTCGGCCTTCCTCTCGGATCGGAAGTTCCTTCAGTTCGTTTGTTGCTGTTCGACTATCCTCCTTCGACTACTTGTCCTTCCTGTCTGATCGGAAGTTTGGATTGGAGCTTCGGCTCCGTCTCAGCTTCTGTCTTCGGCGTACACAGAGTCGGCAACGATTAAGCCTCGGATGCTTCGGGCTTTTTTCCTCTTCCTCTTCCGATGATCTAAGATCGTTCTTCGACGGCAATTAAGGCCGTTGGCTCTGCTACCATGTCAAAATTGGGAATTTGAGAGGGAAAAAGGTTAGCTTTATTCATTACTATCTTTCCTATTTATAGATCTATACAAGATATCTTAATGAGAAAATAATAGATTACAGATTTAATACATAAAATTTATAATAAAAATCTTTCCTAAATTCGTTCCTTCATTATGGCGTGATCCATGAGAGCATCCCACGGATTGATCTTTATGTCCGTCGGATCCTTTGCATTGGGAACGGATGGATTTCAACAGATTATATATGTTCTTTCTTATTTGTACTTTGAGAGTTTTGATAGACTAATATTTTATGGTTACGTACTTTGGAACATAATTTTATTGCATCTATTTTCTTACTTTCTATTAATTTCACTTGTCATTTAGATGTTTTTTATTGTATAATAGAATCTTACTATTATTTACTTGCTAAAACCCTTAAATTCTCATTTACGCAATTCTTCGTCCGTGAGGCTTACGTCTCACACCGCCTCGAGGCTTACGCCTCGCCTCACTGACGAAAAACACCTCGAGGCTTATTTACGCAATTTTAAACCTTGATTTGAACTAAATGTGGAATCTCTTAAAATTATTAGTTCTAAAGTTAAAACATCTTTTTAAACATAAATTTATTTTATCGTTGATGAGGTCCTAATTTATGTCTATTTTATTTGGCGGTTATAGCAGTATTCTTAAAACTATATTAAAAGCATGCCCGCCTGATCTCAACATAATCTCATTAGCCGAGGGCTAGTCATTGGTTGTCTCAAACTTCTGTTTTGTGCTGCTGTTTCACTAGCTATAGATTATAGGTAGTTCATCAACTTAATACATAAGTGATTTTTGAGCCTAACTGATCTGTTTTTAATGTTAGATGGAATAATTGCTGGGGGAACTGCTGGAATTGTTGTTGAAACAGTCCTATATCCGATTGACACAATAAAAACTCGATTACAGGCAGGTTAATTCAGAAGAAAACGTTTTCTCTATGTTTTATTGCGCTGAATGATTTCTTTCTATTTACTTGTATCTCATGATGATATCCTTAAGTTTTATGGAACTTGATTCTTCCAGACAAACTGCATATCTTGTTTGAACAGTTAAGTTCAATGATACATAATCCTTCTATGTTCAATTATGTGCGAATTTCCATCCTCAGATAACCATTGCATTATTGTTCTAATTGATGCTTAAAACTTTTGAAGGACTGTTTTATAAAGTAATCTTTTGAAAGAGACTATTAATTCAAACGTGTGAATGATTTATCAATAAAGTTCTTCATTTTGAGATTCAGATCATTGTTGACTCCAATAATGTGCTTTTAGGGAGACTTCATGCATTCATCTTTCATTCTCTTTGCCATTCCTTATTTAGCCAAGAAAAATAAGTAATCTTGTAATTCATTCACATTTTGACAATACGAGCACTTGAATACCAAGTACTGACAATATCTATAGTGCATTACTTTTATATGAGTTATTTATCTTATCGGTGTTTTTCATGATGGATAATTATAATTCATTTTTTTGGTGCCCTCTTACATCTAGGCAGCTCATGGTGGAAGCAAAATCCACTGGAAAGGCCTCTATTCTGGGTTAGCTGGTAATCTAGCTGGTGTCCTTCCGTGAGTAATTCAATCATTTTATGAGCTGATTACTTGCTTTCAAAATTACTTCGGGGCCTTCTGGACCTTTGTAGAATTAAGGGACTAATATATATTTTTTCTTATATTAGGTTGTTATTCTTTGTTTTCATGAAATTCAAAATCATCAGCTGTTGAGCTGTATGCAACTTATTCTTTCATTTGTTAGAGTGCTTTTTTGATCTGATGTTGTCCAATAACGGCATCTATGATTTCCATGAGTTTTATATTTATCCATATGTATAAATATGTAAGATGACAAAGTTAGTGCTATAAGAGAATATATAAAGATATTTTGTGCCCCTTATTTCTAACATTTTTCCAAATTATTGAGGGATTATTCTCCTTTGCTCTCATTGAATTTCATGTGGAAACTTGTTTAGACGTACTTTTTCTTTTTTGCTTTTGAAGATGCCTGTATTGGTTCCACTTTTGTTTTTCTCATGCATTGTTTTCACTGTTATTTTCCCTTTTACAGATCCTCGGCTGTTTTTATTGGTATATATGAACCTACCAAGCAGAAATTGCTTAAACTGTTTCCTGAAAATCTTAGTGCTTTTGCCCACCTGGTAAGATGCATTTTAGTTACATGTTTGTTATGTATATTCCATTAATCGAACTAGAGAAGTTGCACATTTTCCTTTCTTTCTTCTGGTCTCAATTCCATTATATGTTGCATTGGTTCTTGAACTTAATTTATCGTTAGCCCGGTTATGATTGCTTTTGTGCTTCATGTGCATTTTGTTCATCCGTTTCAATATTACAATATGTTCTTCTAGCACATTTTTGTGACAAATATTTTAAATATGGAGCCTTGCCGTGTGTTTTACATAAGCTAGATGCGCCTATGTGCGATTCCCGACTTATTTTTGGCGTGAATTGTGTTAAAGTACTGTAGTTGTATCAGGACCTGTTTTCCCTGAGTGATAGCTGATATGTGAGCAGATGTTGTTGCTGTTTATGAGATTTGTTGGCTATGGGAATTCAACGGCTTTTGAATTGGGACTGCTGCCTTTATTCAGATACTTTTTGTTACTTGAGGTAGGATTTTAAGTTTAAAACAAGGGTACCTGGGGCACGTAAAAGAGTATTCCACTTATGTTTTATTTTGATTGCATGGATTTTCAATTGGATGCATTATTTTCTAGCTTTCTAAAAATTTTCGGGAAGTTTTCTCTTTGTTCCTGCATGTAGCGTGGGTCTTTTCATTGACTTTTTTCTTTTAGAGGTAGACCTAAAAAGACTTGGTTAGAAAATAGAAATGCCCATCCTTTATTAGATTTAAATGAGAATATAACTCTTAACATGGCACAACGGAGAAAAATGATTCATGTAGCCGACCCCACGTAATATTTTTTTTTGAAGGAATGCAAATTGCATTAAAAAAAATAACTATTACAAACTAGAAGGAAAAAAAAACACTAAACAAGCCCTTTGAAACTATGATAATGGATATGTGGTTTATTAATTTCCATTTTAAATCCATTGGGGTGATGGGGACACCAAATATTTAAACAACCTAAAAGGTTGGTTAGTATCCCAGAGTTCTCAAAAGATAAAAAATGACAACTAGTGAGAATCTCATATAACATTACAATGATTCCAAAAAGGCCAAGAAAACTAAAGGAAAAACCAAAAAGATAACACGAAACTAAATGAAGAATAAAAAAAACACCAAGTACAACCGCCAAAGCTCCTAAAGAACCTTCATCAACATCCTTTGTAGGCAAAGAATTCCAATCTATCTTCAGATTAGATATGAACTCCAGTACTTCCACATCTAAAGCAGCTGGCAATTGAAAATTCCAGCAATAATTAAGAAATATGTCTTCAAATAACTGATTGCAATATCCATGAATCAAGAAGACCAAAATAACCAAATCTGATTCATTGGGAACATATTCAATTAAGCAAAAAATGCAGACTTCCTTTTTCACAACCACAGTTCTGAAAAACACCAAAGCACGCATCTTAAAAGCCTCCTTCCCCAAGCCGGGCCATAATATCCATCATCTAGAAACAATGTTGAAAGAGTTACCTCCAACAGCCTTCAACTCAATCTTTCTTTTCCTAGGACAATCCTCAATAGGTCCTAAGAATTTAAGTTGTTTAGTGTTTTTCTGTATAACACTAAACAAGCTCAACTCCTTATTACTATCAATAACAGAAATAAAATTAGGAACATCATGCTTGGAAGAAGAATCCAATTCTTTAAGCTGTAAACCTACTCCAATATCCTTAACTTCAGAAATCGCAACAATTTCTTCAGCATCAGGAACTACCGCTTCCACCCTGGAGCTATCATCCTCGGTAATTAGAGTTTCACCATCTAATACTTCAGGTTCAGATAAACACTTCTCCTTTTAAGTAGAATTTTTGAAATCAACAACAGAGTCAACTCTAACAAATGGTTCTTTGAACAATATAGAATCAGGAATACACCCTTCAACACCCAATCACAACTATAGCCATATCATTCAAATTGTCTTGAGATAACAGATTAAACATGTTGGAAGAGGGCATCGTCACATCAACATTCTGCAATTGAGACTTCACAGAAAACTTCTGATTCAAAGAATCAACCTTTTTGACACCATTTCCAAAATTTCTATTGTGTTTTTTAAATTTCACATGCATCCAAGAACCATACATATTATCAGAAATATTTACACCAGGATTCACCTCCAATACCTTCGCAGTCTTTTTAGAAGCCGAAACAAATCCGTTGCAGTCATTACTCTTTACTTCTTTAACGCCATTCATTCGACCTTCAATATTTACATCAGGACACATTCCAACAACATGACCTAGCTTGCCACATTTGAAACAAAAAGAAGAGATCTTTTCATATTTCACTTTCTGAAAGAATTTACTATATAAACCTTCAATCCAAACTCCATGAGATAACTTAGAGCCCAGGTCAATACGAATACATGCTTTAGCAAATTCTCACCTACCCCACTTAAACATGTTTCTATCTAAAAACATAGGAACTCCTATCTTGGAAACAATCTTAGAAACATTAATCTAATCTCAACAATATAAAGGTAAATGGGGCAACCGAATCCAAATAGAAGAGGATAATCCTTTCAACGAAATAGGGGAAAATATTGGCGTCCACTTATCCATCCCAATAACGTGACCTCCCACATACCACGGTCCTCCACTAAAAACTTCTTCCATAGCTTGAGATGAATGAAAAGAACACAATATCCAATCAAGTCCCAATGAAGTAAGATGAAAACTACCAAATTTACTCCATTGACGCCTCAATTCAATACTACAAAGAGAAAAAGGAACTTTTTTTACCAAAAACCTTTACCACAAGCGACTTCTACAGTAATTGATAATTTTCTCTTTCCTTTTGAACATTTATTTTAATAACATTAACATCTAATTCCACATTATTTACTATGATATGTTGATTATTAACCCACACATTTCCATACTTATGGGTATCGGCATTATCCTTTTTAGAATTAATTTTAGAATACAAACCCTTAACTGCTAGATTTGAATTCAAAATTTCCTGATAAATCGGTAAGATCTCCTGATTTTCCGGAATAACAGGAGGAATAAAAAAACGTTTAACTTTTAAATCAAAACCTATACATGACGAAGCTTCACAGTCATTTGCTTGAGCTTCAGATACAACATCCTTCAATGCTGATGAATGAAATTCCTTATGAGATATCATCTTCTCCTTCTCACTTGAGATTTGAGCAGATAAAATACCTTTTTTGATTCCTTCCATCGGGATTGGATCGCAAGCAGCTGGAATGCGTCTTTCATTAATAACCAAAGGACGTAGTTTAAAATTTACCTTACAGAAATAATCCTGATTACCGGTAATTCTGCCTTTGGATGCCCAACGAAGGTTAGGATTCCTAGCATAAATGGGAATGGAGGTATTCCGGTCATCAAAAAAAGATGACCAGCGACCCTCCGCCACCATAATGGAACAAACCGGGAAATAAGGGAAGGAAATTTTTTAAATAAAAGCTGGAATCTTCTCTCACTAAAATCCAGCATTGTCTCTCACTAAAAGCGTCTCTCAGTTTGGCCAACCCCACGTAGTATGATAAAGGCTTGATGTTGTTGTTTTTATGAAATTTTAGTAATTAAATTGATTGTTTGTCAGACTTGAGACTATACTTTTTTATTGTGGTCTTACTTTCTGATCGAACGTGTGATTCTTTTATGATCCTGAATTTCTACGTTTGATTTCTATTTGACAACTAGATTTTTGTTTTCACAAACTTTATGAGTTTTTTGGTTTTCATCAACAAATATGAATATATGTTGAAATTGATATTCTATGAACTATGAATTTAGCCTTATTTGCTTTTTTTATGCATTCCAGGCATGATTTGATATTGGTAACCTTAAACCCCATACATCAAATTTGGCATCAATAAGGTCAATTAAAAGTATGGAAAAATAACTAGGCAATTAACTTATTATTAACTTGATGCAATTTAACTCAAATCGGGTAACTATGGGTCTAGACAACTACAACATGAGCATCACGAAGTTTAGGAAAATATTCTAACATTCACTGTGAGGTATAATTTTAAAAAAATTTCAAATTGTATCGGTTGCTTCAAATATTTCTTCTAATGTTATATTATGTAATTCTTAAATAGTCGAATTTGTTAAAACAAAATTAATTGATGTTCTTAAAATTATTGGTGAAATATTGATATTAATTCTACATTAACTACCATGAAACAATAACTTGAAGAAGAATAATATTTGCTATTAAGTGAAATTGAGGACCAACTGTATGATCAATTTTAAAATAATGAAGAAGATAATTATGACTTGTCTGAATACTATGTAAGATTTGAAATCTTTTAGCTAAAGGTTATGCCTCTTGATCATTATGTTCCAATTATTTCTGTTATTAAGGTTTTATCAATTAAATTAGGGCAAAGAAAGGTAAAGTGCATCAAAAATATGTTAGACCGGCCCAATTTGAATTAGGGGATTCAATTAAATATTGCTTTGGAGGGAACAACTCAATTAAATATTGCTTTGGGAGGGAACAACTCAATTAAATATTGCTTTGGGAGGGAAAATTTGAATTAGGAGTTGTTTTGGGATTTTGTAATCTTCTTTGCTTTAAATAGATTATCTTGTAAGGGTTAGGGTTTCATCTTGAATTTGACTGAAATTTGAGATACTTTAGGTTTAGGCTTTTGGGCTCTAGCGGCGTCCAGAGATTTGTGAGAGATAGATGCTCCTCTTGAATAGGGGATCAATTGTATCTTGGTATTTTTTTCCGTTCTATTTTATTTCTTCCAATAAAATTACTGTTTTTGTGGTTTTCTGTGAATTTTGGTAGAGAAAGCTCGTTGTTTTCCGAAGATTGATAGGAAATACTTGAGATCTAGAAGTGTTTCCTATCAAAATACTATATTAGGCATTGTAAAGAGCTTTAGATATTGAGGAATATTATAACTATTCTTTTGTTAATGATGAATTCCTCGTCTGGTCAAATCTAAAAATGTTGAATATATCTTGATTATTTCAGTTGTTTAAGTTAATCTTCCTCATCCTCCAGGAA